GCACGTGCCAGCCAATCATTTGCCCGCTTGAGCCAAATTACCGTTATTCGCCAATTTTTGCCGTATAATGTATACTTCTTGGTCAATAAATGCTTCGTCAGTCTCCGAAAGAAGGATATGATTATAAAATATTCTTGGTTTCGAAGTTTGAGTAGAAGGAATGCAATTCTTCAATAGCCATTTCATAAGTGTTGATTAGTGTAGTATTTGGATGATTTGGTCCTTACCAATAAATATTCCGTAAGAAGAATATGATTCTAAATATGTTGGGTTTCATAAGTTTTTAAGTGTTAATTGGTGTAATATTTTGACGAATTTGTGCCCAATAAATGCTCTAGTAGTTCCCAAAAAAGATTCATAAGAGTTAATTAACGCGGTATTTTGATCATATAACGTTTGCTCTTGGCCAACGAATGCATCAGTAGTTCCGAAAGAAGGAATAGTAGTGATATGATTATAAGTGTGTGAGGTTACGAAATCCGAAATAATAGTTTCGTAAAGGTTAATTGATGTGGTAATTGGTGTTGGTTCTTGGTTAATAAGTGCTTTGGTGGTTCTAAGAGAAGGTTCATAAGAATTAATTGACGCAGTATATTGATCATCTGGCATTTGTCTAAAGAATAGGGGGCTTCGGTAGTTCCGGGAGATCTAGGCCTTCTCCCACGTTTTTAGGCGGGGTGTTTTACAGTAGAGATTGTTGTTCTTACAGTATGCACAGGTGCCATTGATATCCCCTTCAGAAGGTTTTTCGCCTCATTTGACAATTTACATGCTTGAGTCGCATTAGTACAGTGCGGACAACCTAGTCACAGCAAATAAAAATTTTTAGTGGCCAAATTCAGATTTTATTTTTATATATATGAAGAGGCCAAATTGAAAATTTAGCTAATATTTATATATAAAGTGGCCAAATTTTAAATTTTTAATATATATGAAATTAAATTAATTATTTAACAAGGCCAAATTTGCTTTTTTTTATATATATAAAGATGGCCAAATTTTATATTTAATTATAAAAATGCTATAACTTTAATCTGCTATAACTTTTTTATAAATAGATTTAAAAAAAATTAAGAACTTGTAAGTGTTTAGCTTGTTTTGATTTAACATTTTAAGATAGTATTTTTTGCTTACTATTTTTTTTTGAAGAAGGATTAGCAATTTGAATTTCATCAATTTTATTTGTCGGGACTAGGTTGTCTGCACTGTACGTGATCTTTATGATCTATTTGATTGAGATATGTAAGATAAATAATATGTGCGTAAAAAAGTTTAAAGCACTCTGAATATTACAATGTTTGTAAATAATATGATGGCCGTAATTGAAAAGCGCTATCCAAAGAACGTTTTTTGCTTTTTTATATTTAAAAAAAAAGCTCATTTTTTGAAAGATTGAAAATTATATTGGGAATCGTTTATACATTTCATTTTTTTTATCCTTGATCAGAATTTTATATCTTTTAAAATAATCGACAAAAAAGGTAATCAACAACTAATAGTGACTACTACAAAAATTGGGACAATAAGGAAAATAAGTAATATATTTATTGTCAAATGTCAACGGATCTAGCCATAAACGGAATTTGTAAGTAAATTTTTTTAAAATTATTTTTCAAGAATACCGTACAAACGATTCTCAATATAAATCTTATTACTCTCAAAATATGAGCTTGTCAAATATAAAAAAGCCAAAAGCGTCTTTTGGATGGCACTTTATTTTTTACA